TTATTAATGAAGGTAGGAGAACTCTAACAGGAGTGAGTGCAACAGATCTGCCCTAATGTACCTGGGTTGTCAAAGCACTCACCTGGGAGAAGGAAACTGAGATTCAGCTCTGAATCTCCCACATCTCACCTGAGTGCTCTAACCACTTTGCTATCTAGGTGGAAGGAAAAGTGTGTTTTCTCTGACTTGAATCAGAAATTCTATCCTGGTCCTGAGAACTCTACTGATTAAAGTCTCATTGAAAAAACAGGTTTTTGTTTAGATGAAACACTTTTTTTTTTTTTTTTTTAATTGAAGAATGCTATCATTGGTCAGTTTTCAACCAGCTGTATTTGAAACTAGTAGCTTTGCTAGAGGAAGGCCTTTCTTTGATAGGTCCTGTAGTGCATGAATCTGGGAGCTAGAACTTCCAGTTTCCTTTTCAGCCTTTGTCACTGACCAGACATGTGCTCTTGGGTAATGCAAGCTATAACATGGGCTGAAAACAGGCACCACAGTTGTCGTGGCACTAGTTGCTCCATAATGCATGCCACAATGAAGACTGGCAGGTCCACACACAATTTTCAAAGCAGATATAAAGAGTAAGGCCCTTGTTTGGTAAGCTAACAGTCAAAAAAAATTGTCAGCTCTGACTGGAGCAGCCACAGGTCTGGTCTGGGCAGGGCCAACAGTCCTGTCAAAACCCTGCAGTCAGCACAGGGGCGGGCAACTATTTTGGGCAGAGGGCCGCTTACTGAGTTTTGGCAAGCCATCAGGGGTCACATGACAGGCAGCCTGGGGCAGATAAATAGTAAGTTTCTAAATTTTTTAGGGGCCCTGCGGGTCGGATAGAATGGCCTAGCGGGCTGCATTTTGCCCACCACTGGCCAACGGCTCGGGAAGAAGGGGGTAGAGGGTGCAAAGGGCTCTTCCTGCTTGGGACTTTGAAACCCACCGGGAACCCCATATCACCCACATTGTGGCAGTGTGGCCAGACAAGCGGGAAGAACGTCTATATACTTGCATTTTATCCTGCCATAAAACGGTGTTGTTACCAGGACATCTATTCACAGGCACATTATGCTTGTACTACTGCTTGTTTGGGGTTGGGGTCTAATTATTTTACTCCTACATGTGAATGGAACAAGTCTTGAGCCTGTGTTCTTTTTTGATTATTGGGAAAATATGTGGTTTTCCTCTAACATCCATATCTAGGGGGTTTTCTTTTATGACTATTGAGGCTTTGAAATTTTTGTATGCCCAAGTATTCTTGACCAAATGTTAGTTAGTAAAGAATGAAACAAACTGGGTTTTAATCAGATTATACTTTATTTACAGTGTTTTAACTGTTTGCGTATTTTAAAGTCTGTTTACAGAAAACGTGTTGGCCCATCCTTGCATTGTTCTGCGTCGTCAGTGTCAGGTATATCTTTTATTATTGTTGCAATTGAGCTTCATCTGTTTTGACAAGTTGCACTTTTTCATTATTTGTAGAGTATGTAAGGAAGCGCCACTGTGGCATGGGTGGGGGGGAGCAGGCCCAGACCCCAAGCAGCAGGAGGGAAGGGGGAGCGGGCCCAGACTGGGCGGGGAGGCTGCCCACTCCCTCTTATCATTCTTGACAAGCAGTTGGCTAGTTATTTCAGATGGACTGCCACTTAATGAGTTTTGGTGAGCTGTCCAGAGCTGCAAGGGTAGCCCCACCCCTTTACAGGTGCCCCCCCCTCAGTTGCCATTTTGGTACCAGAAGTCCTGCCCCCCTGAACTTTGCCACCAGAAGTCCCTCCCCTTGCCCCCAGAAGTACTCCTTGGTGGGTGGGTGGGGGCAGGCATCTTGGAACCAGAAAAAAATCACATGCTAAAAATCAAACGTCTATTATAAAATGTTTTAATTTTTTTGTTTTAATTTGCAGTCTAATATTTAAGTGAATAAATATTTATTATCTACATGCATAATATTTTATGTATGCATTATTTTTAACAGGTTAATTATCATGCTCGGAATTATCATCTTACTCCATTTACAATTGTCAACATTATGTACAGCATCAATAAGGCCCAGGTCAGTATTTCATGCCAGACTATAACAATAAGTGAAACAGTGATGGAGGTTCTGTTACCACTTATTTGTGTGTTGAAGCAAAGTGCGCATAATTCTTTTAATTAACTGAGTATTATAAAAATACTTTTGTAAATTTCTTTTTCATTACCAAGTAATATTAAACATAGGACTTATTTTCTACAGTTATTTTACTGAGCTTAATTGCTGGGAAAAAAAGTTTGTAAATTAGAACACGTTATTAAAGTTAAAAATGGATTGTATTTTTCATGTCAATTTTAAAATATAGATATATCCAGGATTAAATAGTGACTGTTCTAAACATTTAGAAAACTACTTTTTTTCTGATCACAATTCTGTTGGATCCCTTTATAAAAGTCCATCTTGCCATAAGAGAAAAGACTGTGTCTTAAGCTTTGGAGCAGGAAAAGGCAGGGGAAGGAGGGCAGATTCTGTTTCTGGGTTTAGCACAGAGATTCTATATTGCCATGGGCAAATCACTAACTTTTTGTAACTTACTTCAGCATTTCCCAACCTTTTTTGCCCCATGGCACACTTACCTAAATAATAAAGCACCGCGGCAGAGCGGGGGGCGTTGGGAGGAGGGTTGCACGGCCAGCTGGACACCGAATCAGGGGGCAGGTTGCAGCCAGCTGGACAGCATTTTGCGCTGGAGCCATGCTCCCCATCTATCTGTGTCTGCAGCAGCAGCAGGCAAGGGGCATGGGTCCAGCCCAAGATGCCATGGCACACCTGGACGTGCCTTATGGCACAGCAGTGGGCCGCAGTACACCGGTTGGGAAACGCTGACTTACTTTAGTCTGAGAAATGAAGATATGAAGCACAGAATTGTTGGAACGATTAATTAGTTAAACTTTATAAAATTTGGGGTTATCTGAGGGATTATATTATAGAAGTGAATTTTAGAAATGATTGGGATGGGATCTAAACTTCCCTTAATTTGGGAGCATCCACATCCAGTATTCAATATGTGCCCTGTCTAGATTTTTTTTCACTATTAAATGCATCACTGAACCTAACCATGTACCTTAAACTTTAGGGTCCAAGAGCTCTATGGAAAGGAATGGGAAGCACCTTCATTGTTCAAGGCATAACTCTGGGAACAGAAGGCATCATCAGTGAATTTACACCGTTGCCTAGGTATCACACATTTAATCATTCACTTTTTTAACAAGTTGGACATACTGTAGACATTAACAAATTTTAAGGCATTAAAATATGAAGTTGTTTAAAAACTTAATCTACTTTAATAGCCACATACTCCATAAGACGTTTCTTTGCAGTCTCCTGTCTCTGCATTAATTAGCGTCACTAAATTGAGAGAGAGACCATCTTTGAGAAAAAAACATGTATTTGGTGAGTCTCCCTAATAGTTTGAGAATGGAAACCACCTTGTAAGTTAGTCTTCAACAGGGTATCACAATCAATAGTGAAACCTTTTTTTGAAAAGTGAGGCACTTGTTCAGTAAACAATTGAAATACAAATCCAGGTTACACTATCTTGTACTACAACAAAAAAACTTGCTTTATAAGCAGATGTTGAAATCTAGTCAGATGGTTTCAGTGCCTTTTGTAAGAGAAAATGTAGTCAACTGCATTAAGAACATAAGACACTCTAAGGAGAATTCTTTCTCTTAGCGTTCTCTTTCTGTTATGCTTTATCAACACTTACATAGGTACAGTTTAATGCTCTTATATTATAATTTTTCTAACCAATGATACATTGCTCATAAGTGAGTGTTTTCAGCTTTATGTTCCACAGTCTAAGGCATACAAAGTGTTTTTAGTAATGTGTGTCCTATTTTGACTTTTTTATCGGATGCAAAACAAGGTACAAAAGTGCATCAGTTTATATATTAGCTGTCTATAAAATTAGGAGAGAGGCTCTGGCTAAATGAAAACTTATGAAGTTAAAGATGAAGCTTGGGTGTCCATTACTTAGCCATTTGGCTGCAGCTGGGTAACTTTAAAGTGCTGTAATTCAGAATTGTCTAATAACCCCTATCCCTGTAAATGTGGGTGTGGACAGAAAGACACTGTAGAGGTAAATGTGTGGAGATGTCACCTGATCTGTGATAACCATTTTGTGGGCCCTCTTCTGTTGAAGTAAGTAGAAACTAAATCAGAGCAGTTGACCACTGATAGCTCACCATGGCTCAGCTTCCACTTACTGTGAGAGAGAGCTAAAAAATGAAAGCTACTTCAGAGCATCTGTTCTGTGATAAGTCCACTTTTAATTTGCTGTCACTTGGTTGTCTGTCCATGGTTTGGCAGAAAACATTTTGTGCCATTCTACAGTGATTTCCCAGTTTAAAAAAGAGCCACAACTTTCTGCCCCAAGTATGATAATACAGTTCAGTTAGAGAATTCTCACTGTTCTGGAGTCTGGCTCTATGCAGCTATGGCTCTGTCTTTTTCCTAGCACTTCAGAATTAATAATCTGTAATTGCAACCCGCTACATTATAGTATATGTCTATATGAATAGCCATGAGTCACTGAGACTTCAAATGAAAAGGAAATTTAGAGAGGGCTGGAAGTTTAGATGATATAATTGTCTTTTGTCAAGTATAAACACCATGTATTTAGCAAAATTATATCAATGACACTTCTGGAAGATGTAGACAAGTTATATCAAAGCTGGTGCCATGAATAAAACTACTGAAACAATAGAATGGCAGTGCAGGGCAGAGTTAAAGTGAGGGTAGAAGCTAGAATTTGATGTAGAGGAAGTAGAGTCAGTGAAGGCATGCACAAAGATGAATGCAATCTGATGCATGGGGCAAGGGAAGAAATTACATGTTTTCTTTTCCTAAAGCAGCCCTTGATCTATACAGTTTCTTACTGAAGTTTTCCTTTGTGTATTCTCCCTTGTGAAATATATTTTCCATGTGCCATGTCCAAGCCTTTATATAGAGCAGAAATTTGAGAGCAGCAAAACAGGATGTCCCATGTTGGGCTGCATGTAGTAATCTCACCTTTTTAATTTAGGAAAGACAATTCCTAAATTAAGTTCTGGCAGAGGATTGGGTAACCAGACTGGTTTGACTTCCTACATAACTGGCGCTATAGAATTTCCTGCAGTCATTCCTGCAATTAAACCATAACTTCTATTAATGCTAGAATGTAAACCAAGACTGGCTATGTTTCTAAAAGATAAAGATATCTAACTGATGGAAAGGACACCATAACTCTTGGGGGTGGAAGGTGAGGGGGAGATTGTGGTTTTTTTCTTCCCCAAGTTTAATTGCCATCATGGTTAAATGTAAGTTTTTATTTTTAATCTCTAAATTTGTCTGGGTCCATCTTCTAGCTTCTTAATCTAGTTATAATGTTGACTGTTACATTGAAGAATCTATTGAAGTTACTTGAGCACAACTCAAAAAATATTAAGATCACTCTGTATGATTGTCTGTCATCTGTAAACTTTATCAGCAGTTGTCACTAATGGATTTCAAGTCTGTCTTCACTCGGTCACCTCTTCTGTTGCATTGGTCTAAGTCGTATTCCCATAGGCTCCAAAATTGTCATTACTGGTAGGGGCTTCAGAGGACAAAAACTAATCATTGTGTTGGGTGTGTTTAGCTTTTTTTTTTAATTACCCTTTAGTAGGGTCGTCTTTAAGTTAAACAAAAACAGTAGCGTACATGACTTTATCAAAGTAAAAGTTGCACCAACTGTTACTTTAAAGCATGAATATTAATAAGAGTATGTTTGGGTCTTCAGAATTTGACATCTTTTATGAAGATTAAACTTTCTCACTCATAGTATATGAAGGTATTTTTTTTTTCTGTTTTCATCCTGCTTCTTCAAAGTGCTCTGCATTATCCTTCCTCCATTGCACTTTGTCTCTCTCACACCAGTTACCCTTAAATCACTTATCCTGAAAATTTGGTTCCTTTTTGGTATGTGAATCACCCAGATAAACCAGTGAAGCTTATTTTTGAGCTCTAAGCAGTATAAGTCCATTCTTGGGTAACTATAGGAGTCATTCATAGTTCTGCATGCTGTGCAGTGTAAACAAAGACGTTTCCGTGCAAATTTAGACTCTGAGAAGAGAGATGAGATAAGGGGATGAGGTAGTATTCTGATAGTGAGAAGAGTTCAGACTTACAAAACCTCTTTGTATTTTATGGAGGGGTTGCAAAGCAGATGTAAAAAAACATGGTAGAAGGTAGGTCCTTTGCTACATGTAAAAGACAGAACATAATCCTGTACTCCTGGGAAATCAAAAAACGTTTTTACGGTAGCCCTGCCTGTGGACTGACAGATTTCAGTCTGATTTTCATTTTCCAGTTTCTTTTATGCAATAAAAGAATAGGCGCATAGGTTGTAATCTGAGTGCCCATAGCACCTTTGTCTAATCATTTTCCACTTCCTCTTCAGTGATTGGCCCATGTATTTAGGAAAGTGATACCTTGTAGTAACACACAATTTTACAGAAAAAAAGTAAAAGGTTCCTTTCTTGAATTAGAGTTGCTGTAACGACAGGCAGTGGGTGAGTGATTCTTGGATAAGAATTGAAGCTGAACACACTTTAAAACACATTATTTTCTATCAGTGAAAATAAACATTCATAGTCCAGTTTGTTCAGTGTTGAAGACACAGCTTTGTAGGTTAAGTAGATTTAGTAACATTTACTAAATTTGCTGCCATATGGCACTTCCCTAATTAAGTGCTGGGCTATACTTTCTGTCAACTGGTCATCATCGTACATGTGTAACTGAAAATACCTTTTGTTTTGTTTTGGGGGGGGGTGTTGTTTGCTTTTGTTTTTGTTTAATGAAAGAAGTAATAGTGAAGATTGGTCAGAATCTGTCTTCACTGAATTTTGTTGGTCTGCATGAAATTATTTTATAACTGCTTGCTCTTGTGCAGTTAAAGTGATTTAGGTACCTGAAAAAAGTTAACACTTCCAAAGCACATGAGTATGAATGTAGTTTTTAGGGTTTTTGTTGAAAAATCAAAATGGACAAGCATAACCTCAAGGAAAAGGAGAAAGAACAATTCAAATATAACTGCTGATTTTCAATAATTCTAGGCTGGTGAAGACACGGTTTAATAGTCCCTGTCATTAATTTTAAGAATATGGAAAGGAAAGTAAATATTGCTTCAGAATTATGGGGCTTTATATGTATGAATATGCCTATCAATGTTAGTCGTAACACATGTGTTTGAAAATGAAAATGGATACACAAGTTAACTTGTACAAGAGCAATTAATTGTAGATAAACTGTAAAACCAATGTTGTGATAATAAGATGTAAATAGAGATCATTGAAATATATGTTTAAGACTTTCTCGTGGGATCTTACAGGCAAATTTGCTTTCCTTTACAGGGAACTGTCACATAAATGGAGTCTCAAACAGATAGGAGGACATCTCTTACTGAAAGGGTAAGTACAATGCTTGTTAAACTGATGGTTCTTTTAAAATGTATATATGTTACTTTTAATGTATTAATATTTTTGCATTTTCAAAAGGCATTAAGTACCACTTTAAAATTCAGATTGTGTGGAGGCTCACAAATAAGCAGCCTAAGAAATGCATGTAGAGTGATAGCAACTTTATTCTCTTGCAGGCTCCTAATTTGATCTTTTACTGTAATGTTTTACTAATCCAATTTTGAGTTTCACTTTTCAACTCACAAGCCTTGAGTAGGATGATATAGTTGTGGGTGGTCATGCTTTGAGCAGGGGGTTGGACTAGATGACCTCCTGCAGTTCCCTTCCAAGCCTAATTTTCTGTGACTCTATGATTTAAGTACTTCCATTCACTCAGATCCATGGTACAGAGTGCTTTTTTGAGGGTAGGTACCTAAGTGGTACTGTGGTGACAGTACACATATTTTGCATAATGGCTTAGTTGTTTGAATAGTCCTCTCAGAAGTAGAAAACCTGTGGCCTTGGAACTCCACAGCCTTAAGGACATTCAAACCCATATTCCCCACTTCAGTGAAGAGTGCTCTAACCACCAGGCTAGAGAATAGCCTGGCTGGAAACTCACTGCCCTCCTCCTGTTTGAAGCTGGATCACTGTACAGACAAGAGTAGAAGAGTCATCAGGTCAGAAGAGCAGGCGGGGGAAAGCTGACGCAGTAATCTGGTGGGCCGTAGTTTGCTGTGTTAGTCTGAAGTCAAGCAGAAGGCAGGATAGATTTTCCATTTCATAGACTAACCAAAGGAGATATCTAACACAAGATTTCATGCACTGAAGTTTGCTTTCTGAGATGCTATGAAAGAACATGTCGAACGCAGATTATAAGAAAGGGAGCAAAATTATCACTTCAGCACTACCCTAACATGGAAATCAGATTTTAACCGTCAAGGGCAAGATCCAGAAAGACATTTGAGATGCCTGGAATCCACTTAAGTTCTATTTTACATCTCGTTATACTCTTTCTGCACATCCTTTCACAGAATCTGATGAAGTGAGCTTCAGTTTATGAAAGATTATTTTTGTGTGTGTATGTGTATACACAAACACCAAGATACAAAAATTAGTCAGCACACAGAAAAGTTTTTAGTGGGTCTCTCTTGTCTGTTGGCTACTTGATTAATTTCTTTTATGACCTGTTTTTATTTACATAATAGCCAATTGCCCATCAAAAATGACAGGGGCGGGGGAAGGAGAGTGGGTGGGGATGGAGCCCTGTGCCACCATCTGCCACCCCACATCCGGGCCCTCTCCCCCCTTCCCTTCTGCTGCTTGGGGTCTGGGCCTGCTCCTCACCACAGCAGTGAGGGAAGGGGAGGAACAGGCCCAGGCCTGGTGAGGGGAAGGACCAGGCCTGAGGGTGGGGAGGAGCTGGCCCACCACAGCGGGGAGGAGCAGCAGACCCAGGCCGATGTGGCAGAGGGACAGGAGGAGTGGGCTTGGGGCTGACGCAAGGCAGGAATGTGCCTGGGCCTGAGTGGGGAGGATACCTCCTCCCC